TTTTTTTTTTTTAATCAAGCTTAACTTTTGATACCCACACATCTGATGTTCACTTGATTTTGTAATCTCGTAGAACAGGAGTGCTAGGCTACAGTCAGAACAAGAAATGTCACGGGCAGACATCACAGACAAAAAGGGGCTCCTAATCCTTTCTAGGTAGTAATCTGTCTCAGTCAGGTTTTGTAGATGGTACCGTCACAGGAAAACCCAGGCTGACATTAGAGAGACCCCAAACTTCTGTAAGGAACTTTAATTCTCAAAGATTCAGAAACATGTTGGAATATTTTTTCTTCCCTCAGGCTTCAGGAGATTTATGAGTGTTTGAGGCCAAGCAAAATTCATATTTAGCACTGAGCAAAGCAAACCAGTTATTTCAACCAAGCTGTGTTTTGGCATTGGTCAAACCTCAAGCTCACAACAGCAATGCTGGGTGTCATGCCACAGCTGTTGAAACAATCCCAAAATTAATGGAGCTCTGTGTGAGCTGACACATTTACATTTTCCTCAGCTCCATCCGAGACTTCATCTGCAGCAGCATTTCTTTTCTTAAAACTACCCTCTTCAGTCAATTTTGATTTCAGGAGTGGTTTCAGCCCTAATTTTATGCATCTTTATCTCAGCTACTCACCCTTAGCTTCCTTTACGGTCAGTAAAGACTGTCAGGCGCTTCCAAGGTGCAGTTCAGCCTGGTTTAGATGGTTACATTAGGTTGAGCTCAGTCATGCCTGAGACTTGCTCTTAATATATAAGGAGGCCAACTCAGAGGCAAACGGCCATGCTAAAAATTTGTATCAGATGAATCCTGCTCCATTTGATTATCAAGAAAGTCTACGTAGTTGAAAGAATTTCAAGATGATGTAACATGGTTTGATACACAATCCGTCACATCTGAAAAATCTCTCCTTCCTTACAAGTCTGAAGGAAATATTGATGGTTGTTTATCTTAACACTGTGCAAAGCAGTTGGTTTACTTGTTTCTAATTATTCAGATCTGAATTATTAGCAAAGCAAATTTCTGCCTATTGAATCCAAATATAATTCTGCTCTAAGCTCCATTGCTGTAATGACCTTTGCTTCCTAAAATCATCATGAAAATTATAGTGGCATTTGAAAGGAGGAATTCATGCAAAACAACCCCCAGTGCTTTTTAAGATAAAGGCCAAGGGCAACCTCATATAAAAGCAAGGTTAAGATTCAACTGGCTAGCACAGGCTGGGTTTTAGTTTCGGTTGTCAGATAAGAAGAAAGGGCAGGACTTGTTTATTTAGTCCGCCCCTTGGTTTAAGCAGCAACATGACAAGTTATGCAAAGGAGGCCAGTTTATTCTCATATAGATGCAGGTTGGAAGAGTTCATCTGAGATGTTTTTGTCTTGGAGGGAAGGATGGGAGGGACAGAAAGGTTACACATCCTGACTACATAAATGCCTCTTTGGCTGGTTAATGGAGCAGCAGAAGCACTTGGCACAGAGGCAGTGGCGAGCTTCACCTTCTCAGCTGGAGGAGCAGCGCACAATCACTGCCATCACAGAGCACAACAGCTTATTAAAGGAATAAAGACAAAACGGTACTTGATTTCCAGAAAGGAGGGGCAGGAAATACTCCTGGCCCTGTCAAGGCTTTACTGATCTTAATGGGTCTGCCACAGAGATAAAGCTCAGCTTGAACAGTGGAGAGGTGCTGCTCCTGAGGGACGAGTTCAAAAACACCAGCTCAGAAACATTAATAAAAACATTTCCCACTGTTTCTTCATCAGAGCTTAAAAGAAACAGCATACTGCAGAGCACACTGGCAAAATCTATAAGCATACACCATAAAATACGCATACGCTTATTTCTATAAACTAGTAACTGAGACTGTCTTGGAGAATGGATGAATTTGTTAAGATAACCAGTTTCTGGCATAAGTAGACCCCATAAAGAGGGCTTAATGCTTATTTCTAATCTCCTGGAAGACTGTACAAATGAAAAAAATGAGGTTAATCACCAAGGAAAATTGCCAGTGAAGTAATACATCTTTTGTTAAATATTAATTATATTTAATTTTTCCCCATCACAGAATTTACAAGGTTCTCATGAATCAAGGATTAATTCAGAGGTTTTTATTTATCCTCTGCTGTGAATGGATCCCTTCTCAGTGGAGAGTGAATGAATTTATTTTGTATCAGCTTTCTTCTTGAAAAGAAAATCCTTCGTAAAAGAACTGGCAATCTTTGCCAGAGAAATCCAGGCCGAGTAAAACATTTCATTGTTCAGGCTGTTAGATCCTAATGAGTTCTGCATCTAAGCGCTTGTGATTTTCTTCCATCTGATCCAGCAGTAGCATAGTAGTTCATGCACTTAAATGTACAAGACTTGTTTGGGAGGAAGATTTCTATTAAAGGAAGGCAGCATGTTCCATAGTTTTACTATAACATCTGTTATTATCATTCAGTGCTGCTCTTAGCCCAGCATGCCCTTCCTCTAAATATCTTATTAATTAAACTGGCTTAGTAGGAAAATAATTAATACTTTAAGTCCTGTACCTACTTAGAAAGGATTTAGAAACTGAAAAAATTGTTATAGTCTGAGCTTCAAACTGGAGGGTTGTGGAGTTTTTTCATTCTTGAGCAGAAGCAGATTACAACTAAAAGGGAGTATCTAAAAAGCCTATGTAAATACAGTCTTCCAGATATATATATCGTCTTTGAAATTCTGCTAGACTGCAAAAATAGCCCATGACTTTGAGAAGTCTTGGTCAATACTTGAGCGTCTTCCCCAGCAACTGTTTTGGGAGAGGTGCTCTTGTGCTTCTTCTTCAGAATGTCCTGCTAGTCGTATTTAGCACTTGATCCTCCAGAAGTCTTAACTCCAACCCACAAAATTACCGTGTTTCTTACCACAACTTTAATAATGAGGTGGGACTTTCTAGCTGTGAAGTCGGTAGTAGTGCTGTTACCTTGCATAGCCAGCTGTTGACTAGGCAGGAGGGTGAGATGGTGAAGCCAGGTGGGTGCCAGTGAATTTGTATGTAAAATGTGTATCTGTTACTTAGCTATTTATGGTAAAGTACAGAAATAGCAGTGTCTTTGTTTTGTGAGCAGTGCTGTTGTCTATATGCAGAAACTGCTGCTTTGCTGCTGTTTCACCCAACTTGATTTCCCACTGAAGAACAAGCTGGGACAGACTGGGTGCTGTTCACTGCTTACACTAACATATAATTACACTTTCTCAGACCTGTTGGAAAAGGTGTTGGGTGCTGCCAAATTGCTTTTTAAAGTCAGTCAGGGTTTTAACAATTTCTTTGGTGGGACAAAGCTCCAGAGTTAGCTGTAGCTTGTTTTGGCTTTTTTTGGAGGAGCAGCTATTCTTAAGGAGGAAGAGGAAGAAGCTTTAAATACTGTACCAGAGCAAGGCCCCTTCAGCACAGGGAAAAGGTAGCTTGGGGAGCAGTCTGCAGTGTGACTCTGGAGTCTGATTGTTGGATATTTCTTTTCAAAAGCATTATTAGAAACTTAGAAATCGAAGTTTCATTGAACATCCGTGAGGTGCCTAAAGCGCTTCTTCAAATGGGGCTAAGGCACTCTGGAAAATTCTGTGGCTGTTATGTTAGCAGCCTCCAAAATAATACTGTACCATGTGGCTGGCTAATGCGTATGGGGTCTTGTGCCTCAGCAAAGGGACCTGCCGTTAATTCTGATTGATGCTGAAGTTCAGAGGGTGTGTTTGGGGGAGACCAGGGTTTTTATTAGCTACTGACTGTACCTACTGGCCACCTTTGTCCTGAAGAATACATGTTCAAAACTGATTTAAAAAATGGGGAAACCTAAATTTATCCTATGGAAAAGAGTGAAGCAAAGCTGGCCTTGTTCATACTAAGCTGTAAGTATCTGACAGCAAATAAGTTGCAATGAGTGCAGCGTGTCAGTATAAACATAGCTAATTCATCAAGTATATCGGCCTCTGCGGGAACAGCCAACATGCAGCAGGGCCAGAAAAGGTTACACCCTCATGTTTTCAGGTATGGAGAGAGGGTTTCGAAGCCTCTTTTGCTTTAAATCTGCCTTGGGCAGACTGGAGATGCTAAGTCCCAGTTCATTTGTATGTGTGTGCATCTGTGCTGGGTCTGATAGGGGAGCATATGGCAAAAGCGATTCACCCTTGACTGTGCCTCTTTTTTGGCAGGCACAGTCTTGTTTGTCACAGAGCACACACAGTCGCAGCCACTCCTGCACATCACTTCTTGCGCCCCTTGCTTGCTGGCTTTCAGCTCTTTGCCTGAATGCATGTCCTTTGTGGTGTTTTGGTTAATTGGACATTGTTTTAATTACTGCTGAACTAAACAAACATGATATTTCTATCTGTTGTTTTGCTGCCCCAGTGACCACAGTCTCCAAGCAGCCAATACAGGACTTGGGCTCTTCAGACCTGGTGTAAATTGCAGTGGCTCTCATGCAGTTTCCCTCATTTACACCTTTTTTGGGGAAACCCCCCCTCCAGGGAGGAAAAGGCTCCATTAAACAGCTTTTTTTGCACTGTCCCAAATGCCTTGATCTGCTCTCACTGGAATTAGTAGCAAACAAGCCTTGCTTTCCAGGCGGCAGAGGTGCCAGTCATCTTCCATGGCCTGGGGACAGTCCATGGCCATGTCTTTCATTGGTGTGATCCTTCATGTTGCCTCCTTTCTTGCCTTTCCCTCTCTGGCTTCTGCACTAATTGCTTTTTTCTCCCATTGCTGTCTTTAATTCTCCATGGAAATGCCTGGGTTGTGTGTCAAAATTAAGCAATGGGAGTGCAGACATCTCAAACCGGTCAGTCCATAGCCATTTCTGTCAATAATGGCCATGCTATAGCAGCAGGCGGATTCTCTGGACTGTCAGTAGCCTTTATTTTGAGATGCTAATTTGCCACTGACTTGAAGAGGAGAACAAGCATTTTTTTAAATGCCTTAAAAGGCATAGAGCCTTTTAAAATGGTCATTTCCCTTTTTTCTATTTATATTGACCCTTTTCCTTTGCTTACAGCTTTGGAAAGAAAAATATCAATGAGACAAAGCAGAGAGGAGCTTATAAAACGAGGAGTGCTGAAAGAAATTTTTGATAAAGGTAAGTGTTCTTCTTTTCACAATATTAAATTGACATCCCCTATAGTTTTATTGCCAGATATTACATTATTGTAACACTAAGAACTGGGAATACAGTCCTATATTGCAGAACTGTGCAGAATAAGGTCTCCAAACATCTCTTTTGATTTCACTGTGGGCTGGCCCTCTCCGTTGGATACATGTGGTAGTTACCTAGCAAAAACACTGAAAACTAATCAAAAATGTAAAGCAGTAGAAATATAAATCACAGGAATGGGCAATAGTTACTTGCTGCAAAACAGCGATGCATCCACACTGCGGGTAGACGGAGTGGGTCCGTGCCTGCATGTGTTATCATTGTCTGGTTGAGTCACTCCAGGATTAACTATTGTGGAAAAAGGTAACGTTTAAAGGTTTTGGATCCTGATGAGCACAGAACAGTGCACATTCCTTTGAAACAGCTCAGAAGACATAATAATAATTCCTTCTTCATGATAATTAATTTGTTGAGTTGGTAATGTATTATTTATGCAAAACGCCATTGTTTTACAAACACCATTCTTTTACTCTGGTAATGCAACACATATTTGACATCTATTACGTATGTGTCAATCTTTAACTGCAGCTTTTATTTATTTTGCTGCTTCCCTTGTCAATAACTAAGGGAATGAATTCAGCGAATTGTGTAAAGACATGCCAAAGTTGCATCTTAATTTCAGTAGAACTTATGCATATGCTTTAAAGCCTCATTAATTCAAAGTCTGAAAGTCTTTAACAATACCAGTACAAAACCTGTTAGAAGTCAATAGAAGTTGTAAAACTTTAAAGTTGTAAAACTCCTATATTAGGAGTAGGGTCTACTTCATGGAGTCTGGAGCATTTACATCTACTACCTACTTTTTTAGTCTAGTTTATTAGGAATTTAAAAATTTACTAACTCGAACTGTTTATTTTTTTTAAGTGAAAAAAAAACCAAAACGCAACATTGCAAAACCAAAGAAATATGCTGCTTGTTATTAAATTTTAGAGTTTTTACCTGTATTTTAGATGCTTCTAATCCTTTAGATCTAACACTGCCTATGCTCTCACTATGACCTGCTGGCTTGGAAGTCATCCTAGATGCAATTTCAGGGTAGAAACAACTCCTGGCAAAAGGTTTGCCCTTCTCACTGCTTTGGGTTGTCCACATTTTGGAGTATGACTCAGATCAGACACACAGCCATGAGGCAGGCATCCCTGCGGCCAGTGAGCCATGGTCCAGGCTGTCACACCAAGTGTGTTGCAGTCCAGGGAAGGCCAGGGGGTAGCTCCCCGTTCAGTGTCCTGGCCAGCTCAGAAGTCAGCCTTCAGTCACACCTCTGTCTGTGGTGTGGCCTCCTTCATCCCTGCCGCACATCCCACAATTAGCTGCTTTCTGACCCACCCCTACATACACCTAAAGGCATCCCCAGAAAAAATCTTTTCTGTGCAGTCTGACCCTGCTTTCCACATTGAAACTTGGGAAGGTTCCCCCTGCTTCGCTACCAAAGTGCTACAGCTTTCTCTGTTCATCAAATAATGCTGTAGTTTGTAATCTTCTATGTCATCTTGTGAAGCAGATGCTAATCTGTCTGGAGATCCTCATATGAAAAAAGAAATTAATTCCTCTTTATAGTCATTTTTCACCTTTTCATATCAGAAAAAGCTTGTATGAAACACATGCTGCTTCTTCCTATTTCCGGTGCAAAAAGCAGACACATCAGACTTCTTCACTGTCAGGTGCCACTAAAAGGGAAACTACAATGCAGAACAGCTGGACTTCTTATTCAGGATCCTACATTATTTCCTGCTGGTTGCAAACACAGGAAGCTAAGAATTAGTATGCCTCCTCGAAAGAAAGAGGTAGGGCAAAGAAGAAAGTGGTAATACACAAGAATAGTAGCAGTGGTCGAGTAGCTTTGATGAGAGGAGTGTATGAGAAAGGCAAGATGTGTAGAGCAAAAGCAGTATTTCCTTCAGTGGTGTAATAATCTGAGAGTAATTCTAATAATGGATATTATATCTCACTGTGAACCTTAAGTGAAAGCAACATTTTCCTTGTAATTCCTGTTAGGTAATCTCTAATCCTTAAGAAAACACAGCAGACTTCAGCACTTCATAGCAGAAGGCCTTATTTGATGATGGTAGCACCTTCCATGCCAAGAGGCATCTTGTGCAGACAATACGTGTAGCCATAATGTTAAATCTCTTTGTCTCCCTTTCCTAAGAGGTGAACAAAGCAGACAGAATTGGCCTGAGAGTTATTTTGCATTTTTCTTTCTTAAAAAAAGTCCATACAGGTCAAAGGAAGCTTGTATCAATAGACTGACCCAAGAACAAAAATTCTGGAGCTTGCAGTGTGCTTAGTGTTGGTTTTGTCCTATCTTTCATGTTGAAGAAAAAACAGATTAGCTAGCTTGCCTGCTGTTTAAAATGACACCCTGACCTATTTGCTGGCTTTTTAGAGGACTTTGTGTCATCCCACAGGTGAAAGTTAGCAGAGCACATAAGTCACAGTGTTCATACATGGGAAAGTCACTGCAGTCCAGCTGCTATTATTTGGGAAACAAGAAATGCTTTTATCACTTCAGTGACCCCCACACTTAAACTAGTCAAGTGAAACCATTCCAGACTGAACTGCAGAGAACTCTTTTCTTGGCAAGGGCCAGACTCATGACCGAATCAGCTTCTGTCGTCTTCCATTTCTAGGGTTCTGTAACTTGAGTCTTCTGAAAATGTAGGCAAAGGTTGTAATTCTTTCAAATACTGTGTATTTTTGGAAAAATACTAAGTTGAAGAAGTATCTGATGAGGCACCTGCTGTTCTAATAGTTTGTGGGCAGGTAGTGCTAAGAGGTTAAAAATACAGCTTCCATTCGCAACACAGAACATACCAGGGGATTTAAAAGAACTCACATTTTCGCTATACTATTGCTCCTACACATAAACAAACAGCTTTGATTTTCACATGAAGGTGTAACCATCCCAAAAGCATCTGTCTTTAGAATTGCCCACTGTTCCATGGTGCCAGTCAAAGAACTAAATCTACTTGTAGTATTTTGATACCTCTTTTATGTAATATAGATGAGATTGCCTGTAGTGAGAAATTCCTGAATATGAGTGTGTACTGATTGCTTGCTTCAGAGGTGATGGTACAATGGTTTTTCAAGGAAGCATGGGCAGTCTTCATCTTTTATACTTTTGTATTATTATACTCTATATCTAATCAAAATGATGGATTTAGACCTAAATTTCAGGTTACCTAAATCCTGACAGGATTTGGACGTGTTGCACTTATGTGCTGAGGCAGGTTTTTTGTCAGTACATGAGCATAACTTTGAAGAAGTGGCTTCAGTAATGCAGCAAGGAGGAAGGCATGGCAGCCACCAGAAAGACAGTTGTGCTGCAGTGAAATCATGTGTTGGAAGGTTTTGAACTCTTCCAGAAGCGGGAGGACATCCATATTTCAACCTGTCTCAAACTCCAAGGGATCCCACAAAATTGGGGGTCTGCTTAGAGACTGAAGTCAAGGAGAAATCTAACCACTGTGCTAAGGTAGCCACCAAGGCTAGGAAACAGCCCTGGGGACAGGTCTTGACCACATACAAGAACACTTCGTTTTCCATCCCCTAGCCCATAGGGGCCATGGCAGAGAAAGACATGAATTTTTCTATGCCCTTCCTAGCCTTTGCCATCAAGAATGCTTGCCTGGACAGTCTTACTTGAAAGCAGGCAAGTACTGAAGGAGACAACCCAAAGTGGAAAATAACCCAGGATTTTGAACTTTCATCATCATTTTGACTTCCGTAGCCATTTGTCTGTGGAAGGAGTGCATGAGCATGGCACTTTTCAGGTATGCAAGAAGTTCCCTAGTCCAAGGTGTTAAGAGTGAAAAGACATGGTGAGAGGGTAGGCAGAGCTCCAACATAAAGAACAACAAAAGGACCGGTCTGTGTCAGTGTGATGCACTGTGGGCTGCTTCACACCAGGCAATTTTTAAAAAGTACCTGGAAGTGGAAATGGCAGGTGAGTTCAGGAGTACAAACCATGCTTAGGAGCTGCATGTTTTGAACATATCATCTGTGCATTTCTGGGCCTTCACCCCATGCTGTTACTTTCACATGCTAAGGTGAATCAAAGTGTCTGGGTAGAGTCCTGCATCAGAGAGTTTCCTCTGAGGTCCTGTTTCTTCACTGACTTCAGGTGTGCGGAGCCTCCTCAGTAACAGAAGAGCAGCCTTCATGTGCTCCTGTTGCTGCAGAGGTCAAGCTACTCTCTCTGGTCCCGTCCAGATTCACTCAGCCAGCATTATCAAAACTCATGCATTTAGGGGAAATCATTCTCCAGTAAGTAGCAGCAGGCCCTGTGAAAACACAGCAAAGGATTTAGCAAGTAAGAGAACAAAAGATTACATGTGTTATCACTGTGCAAAATTAACTTTGAACTCATAGCCGGTTCCTGAAGACTAATCGGTTCATTCATTTATGTGTAATTATTGCATTACCAGGATTCTTTTAATTTGTATGTCAGCTAACCAGAATAGCTTTTAGTACTTTAAAAGTAATAAGTAATTTGCCTTTTATGTCTGGTTGTCAAGCATGTCTCTGAACCAGGATTAATTCACACTAAGATATTCTTCACAAATTTTTATCTGCATCTTTGATCTGTTTGCTGTACTTCAGCAGCTCCCCATGTAGCGCTTCTTTAAGCGAGATCTGATTTAGGGTACGTATTTCAGTCATGATTCTGTGTCATGTCTGATGATTTCATTCAAATCCAAGGACAAGTTTTAGAGTCTAAATGAAGATTAGAGGTATTTAGAGGTAAGATTAAAAGAGGTTATGCTGTCAGTGCAGAGGGCTGTCATGCTTGTTACTATGACAAAAAGTAAAAGCCAAAATTTTATCTTACGTTTTACTTTTTTGCAATCAATCGTAAAGCTTCAACAGGTCATATACCTTGAGAAGTGCAAAGTGCACTACAGTAAGATTTCAAGATGCTCAGCATGTTATGATAGGCATCCCACTTCACTAAAAATATGTAGACATCCCTCCAAAAAATAAATGTTACTGGTTTTATCATGCATACTTTTTGTCTGCCCACAGTTACAGTCAAATTTAGTCCTGCACTGAATTAATGAATATTGCTGGACACAATCACTGCCTTTCATTCAAGAAACAGTTGCTCTGCATAAGAAAAAGTTACACTCTTTCATGAAAACAGGTGACTGAGACAACAGCAGCCCCTATCCCAAACACCTGTAAAGGTGTGTGTTTATAAAAGGGAGACAGAGCAAGCACAGAATACATAGCATTTCCACCCAAACAGCTAAGTCAAAAAACATTCACCTTAAATACTGGCTGAACTGTTGTTTGATTTTTGCTGCCTAGGGAAATAAATGGGTTTGTATTGAATGACCACAGCAGTTAGGAGACTGCTCTGAACAATTGGCCAAAACCTTCAGTTTTGATTAATGTTGCTACCTTTTAGCCAGCTCAGTTGTTTGCTCTGAAAACCATGGGTTGGATTTCAGTCTAGTATGATGTGGCTGTGTACCATAATAGCTATCTAGGTCTTCAAAAAGCCTCCAACACAAACAAGAAAGTCAAGACCTTGGTATTCCTAATAATTCCAAAATAAGTAGGAGACCATCTTCAATTGCTGTAGGGAAGGTTTAAAAGGCAGAAACATAATTCTGAATACTTACCAGCTAACGTACTTTCAGACTTGTTAATTGGTGTGTCCTGACGCTTAAGTGAGAATTTTTTTCTCTTTTCAGTATTGTTATCTGAAGTGTTTTGCACATCTTAGCCCTGTGAGGGGAAAATGTGCACTCACTTAAATGATTTACATCTCTGTTCAGTAGATTGAGCACTAATACAGCTAATCAGAGGTGCCCAAAAATCAAGAACCAGATCCTGAAATCCTGAGTTTGACTTAAAAAAAAAATCTAAATGCGTAGTAAAATTAGGGTCCATTTATTTGCCTGCTGGTTTTTAGCCTTACAGGTCACATTCCAGTTATATTTTCAGGCTTCCACTCATTACCATAGGGACTGGACACTTTCCTTTGTAAAATTGTAATTGAGATATCCATGTAGTCATTGCCTCCAGGTACCAGAGTGCTGTGCATAACAAGTCTGAGATAAAAATCATGCGGGACGACACCATAGAGAATGATCTGATCCCTCGCTTCTGTTCTTTATTATTTCTAATGTGGAGTGGCATTTGATAGGAAAGAAACTACCAGTTGCTGTTACAGAAATTTTGCTCAGATAAAGGAGATATTAATAACTTTAAAAACAGGCTTTCTAAATGGAATCTGCTATATCCAGTATCAAGACCTTACACCAGGTGACCATAAAAATTATTCTTTCTCTTACTTAAAATCTTGGATGCTGGGAGCTGTAATGTTTTTATTTGTATGTAAAATAGGGACATACTTCTGTGATTTTGCTTGTGTCCTTTATAGCATAAAAATTGGTGTAAGGGAAGAGAATAATTCTTGTTATTATTATTAAAATATTATAAATTATATACTGTGTATTTTAGTATTCTTTAAGAAAGCTCCATAGCTTCAGTTCCAGCCATTCTCATTCCTGACTTCCCAGCTTCAGCAGAGATAGAGGGAAAACAGATTTTGTGGCCCTGGATGGGCCTGCATGGCCCCATGAGTGGAGGATGGTCAGGAACCATCCAGCTTAGACCGTGGATCATAATGACCATCCTAGGGTAAGCAAAGGATCAACACAGATATTTGGTAGATCTTTCCCAAATCTTAATAACCCCTTAAGGCAAGTGGAATGCTGTGAGACTTCTGTGAAACTGTTGTGGACAGAACATCACAGTCAGACATCTCCAAAAATTGCTCTGCACAAATTTGTATTTTTGAGATACAAACCATATTGTTTTGATCCTTATCCCTGTGTCTTCTGTAGACATACAAGATCTCAGTTCCCGTTACTCATTTTCAAGCAAGCTAATGGAGATAGCAGATTTCATTTTAAATTTTTTCTGCATCTTATTTACATGTCTTCTGTTGTCATTCTGCTTTTCCTCCAACTATGAACAGATGGAGAACTTTCCATACCAAATGAAGAAGGAGCTTTGGAGAATGGGCAGCCTCTGGGCTCTGGGCAAGTGCTAAGCTCCAGCCAGGTATCCCTGCCAGCCCTAGCAGAACTGGAGTCAGGTCCAGCATCTGGGGAACCCTGCTCCTATGAGGTCCTCCCAACCACAGATATCATGGATGGGACAGGTAACGTCTTGTTTACGTTATGATGTAGATACTCTAAGCTATTTGAAACAAGTTTTTGACTTTTAACATTTGGTGTCTAGCCCTGAGAAATCCTTGTCAAAGACAAAGGTCTAACAGTGGCTAACACAGCTGCCCTACCCTAGGTGAGGCTCTCTGCACTTCTTCCCTAGCCCATGCAGAGAGATGGCAATGCTGTACATGTAGGTTAGCTCCTCTTTCTGCATCACTGAGAGTTATGGGCGAAGGTCAAGTGAGGAGAAGTGACTGGTAGAAGTGTTCATCCATGATCCTGCACAGCTATGCAGCCTCTTTGAAATGAAGTAGGCCCCGTGAGGTGCTTTTACATTTATAGGATAAGTTTAGAGAGCACCTGGCTAACATATCTGGTCCTGAGCAAGCTGTGGTGACAGACTGTCTGAGATGTGACATTTTAAGGCTCTTGATTTGTGTTCAAGATGTGGGAACACGTCCCAGCCTGGCATAAGGGAGCTGGCTTCTGTCAGAGGTAATGGGAAATTCAGCTGTTCTGTAGATGTCCGTTATTCTTTCTCTTATTCTCTCTTTCTTTCTCTCCTCCTTTCTATGTTGTATGATGTTTGAGTGAAATCTATTAGTCATTCTTAACCTGCATTGCTGCACTGCTTTTCTTGTCTTACTACGGCTGTATCCGCTGCTGCTTTGCTCGTAACGTTATTGCGTCTATGATGTGGTTGTGTCCTCCAGTGTCTGAAGACAGCCCCACATCCAATGAATCCGGCGTCCTCCTGTCCCAAGACCCTACAGCTAAGCCAGTCCTGCTACTTCCCCCCAAAAAATCTGCCGCTTTCCCTGGAGACCATGAGGACACCCCAGTGAAACAGTTGTCCCTCCTCAAACAGCCCCCTGCCCTGCCTCCTAAACCTATTGCCAGGATTGCCAGCCACTTAACTGGTAAGTAGGTGTTCCTGGACCCTCAGCACCACCATTTCCCTTATAGGAAAAACCTGCCCTTACAGCAAGGTTCTCAACGTCCTTTCTCTTCTGTAACACTGTTTGCACATGTTGTTTTGTGTACTGGTAATGTATCTGTGTTGTACCTAGGGCAGGGATCACGAACCGTTTTCAAGCTATAACTTCATCAAGGTTGCTTCAGGGCATTTCCCCTCTCAGGTGTAATTACCTAAGACCGCTGCTGCGTTTCCTAATCCTCCTCACTCTTACTCATCACGACTTAGCATCACCACAAAAATTGCAGGATGTGCTTTGATGGGAAAGGAAGTATCAGGAAAATACTAGGATATCTTTAAATGCCTTTAATGAGAAAAGGGGTGAGGGTTGAGGGGAAAGGGAAGATTTTTGCTTTCTCCTTTTGCCCTTTGTTGCTTCTCCCCTCAGCTGCCATCTGGGCAGGTCCCCCTGCACACACCCTGTACGTTTCCATGTGTTTGCCTTTTACTTGGCCCCCTGATCCTTACACAGGCTATTCTGTCCCATGGCTTCTTGCCATTTTGCTTCCCTGCGCACACTGCCTGCCTAACTGCTTGCCCTTTCCACCCCTGCTCTGACTACTCCTCTCCCACTGGTGAGTCCTGATGATGATGGACAGCTCCAGTTCCCAATAACCAGGATTTTGGTGTCCTGCAGTTTATGCTGCAGATTCTCTCTCACTGCATGGCAGCTAGCAACAGTAGGCAATACAGGCTCCTTTTTTTGTGTTGCAGATGTTTTCACAAGTGTCCGGACTCTTTGGGATTCAAAGCTCTAGGTACATGTAGAGGGAGGATTAGCGGGTCTCCTCTCTCCAGTCTCTCGTTCAGACCGCTGAAGCCAAGGATGGCTACATTTACACAGACCAAAAAAGGTTCCCTAATGCTTGCCTGCACCTTTTGAACAGTCTGCTCATAACTGCAGCTGCCACGCAGGAGGCAGCACCTCAGAATCCTGAGTTCAAGACGAGGTGTGGTGCATCTCTGTACTGGGGCAGCTACCGGTGTTCTCACTGGGTCGATCTTCTTGTGTTAATGCTGCCCTGGTCTTTTCAGATCACGTTACTACAGTCCAGATTTTTTTTTTCCCTGACAGTTAATACCTGTTTTATTCGGGTTAAGATATATATCAGGAGAGAGCTCATTAAGAAGGAGCATGTTCTGGTTTTCTTTCATATCTCTACGTAGTCTCTTCATGTTTCTGTTTGGATGACCACACATTTTTGTTCTGTATAGTTTTGTTCATTTTATGTGAAATCTCTTTACTTTCTTGCCTGCCAAAATCTACACATAATGGTTAATATTTTGCCTTATACTACAAACTGAATGGGCAGTTCTGCAGCCTGCAAAGCCAAGCAGTAGTATTAATGGCTTCAGGTGAGGACAAAACCAGCTTGCTATGATCTCCCATAACACTGTCCCAATTACAAGAAGCTGCTCAGAAATGAGGCCAACATGGAGGAAGTAAAAAAAACAGGAATAGCATAGAAAAAAACTCAGGTACTAAACGTCCTTCATTCATAAGCCTTTCTTATTTAAGAAATAGCAGAATAATCAAAGGATGAGGGCTTCTGGTGTGGGGTTTTTTGCAGCTGGAAATTTTGCGTGAAGTAGAATCAGGCTCAAGCTATCATCATAAGTCAGTTGCTTGATGGTGACAACTTTACAATGAAAGTGAAACAGAACTGTGACTTCTCTTACTTTGTGGTGGCCTATAGTGGTCTCGCATCCAGTCCTGAATAAACTCATGTATGTGCGTATAGACAGACTCTTGCACGTGATATACAGAACCTTCAGGGAAAAGTAGCAGAGATTCAGATTTAGTCATAGGGACCTAATTTAATTGACAGTTATTCCTGGTGGAACTGAAAGCCTCATTTATACATAGCTTATAAATAAAAGTATTAAACTTATTCTTCAAGGTCCATTTACTTTGGTGGTCTAAAGGATATACATGTTGTTCAGTGCCTTGTGCTCTCCACTGGTAATTATTTTAGCCATGTATAATCTTTGGAAATGAGCAATCAATCCTAATGAAGCACCCTCATCAGTGAGAAGCAGAATTAACGCTATTCTTTTACTAATTACTCCAGAGACATCCTCAGCTTGTGTGTGAGAAAACGAGTAAAATCTGAATTCTGGCATTTGAGGTGAAGACTTTTCTGTTCTTTTTTCATACCCATTTTTCTACTAGATTTGTGAGAAGGTTGAAGGACAAATTAAGACATACTGGGCATGGCTAATGGAGAGTGACAGTGGTTTAATGGTCTGGTAGCTCTGTTCAAGAAGACTGCAAGGGGAGATTTGATCTTGTAAAGGGTTCAGGTACACATCTGAAAATGCAGAAGCACCTCTTAACTTCTCTCAAGATAAATGTATGGGTATGTGTACATATGTATATTTATTTAATAGAACATGTTTTATACAAACATATATTATAAAATCACTACAGCTGTCAGCAGCAAAAAAAAAAAAAACGAACAATATTTTAAATACAAAACTTGAGGAAAGAAAAGCTTCCTTTGAGTCTGACCACCTTCTTGCTGTGAACTTATCCCAAAGTTCTTCAATAAAGGCATGAAGACTGACTTGCAGCGTTTGGCAAAGCACTTAATATAGGTTTTAGAAGTGGAAAAGAAACATTCCTCATCTCTGAAAGCATTAGTGAACCATCTCAAACATCTATCTGCCTGTGCCAAGACAAAGATTGGCCTTTCCCTCGATAAGAAACACACATAAAAGCAGGCCTAAAATAAACATGTAAGAGCACATTTAATTGGGGAGAATGAAAAGAAAAAATCCTTTTTAAAGGTGACAGGAAGAGAGAATTGCCTGTATCAAATATAAATCACACAACCTTGGCATGTTTCTTCTCAAGGCTGAGGTACTGTGGGGACGGGACAGTACAGGAACGGGGACAGAGCCAAGAGCAGACTGCAGAGCAGCCACTGGGAGTGGTGCCACTGCTGCTGCAGAAGAAGCTTCATGCTTTGCCTCACGTCATCTCCCATGCTCTTGATGACGCTGCCTCCACAGGGAACATCCCTATCACAGCACTGGGTGTGGAAGTGCCCATGTAGCCCTAGAAGACAGGCAACCCTAGGAGACAAACATGATCCTTAACTGTTTTGATATCATTGTTTCACTACTCTGCATTTCCTGTTGGCCAGTCACCTTCTGGTGACTTCTACTGGTTTTCAGGTATGATTATTTTTAGACAACATTCATGGACAGAATTTCTTTCATCATTTTAATTCTCCAATATCCACATGCAGAACCCAGGCATTTAGGACAAAACTTGCAGCCCTCTTCGTTGAAAATGTAGGAGGACCTGAAATAATCACCTGGGACCAAATTTAATTGGACTGCTGGGGTGAAGTCCCCCAATTATCATAAAATCTTTAATGGCCAAAAGTGACAAGAAGACTGGTCATATCTGATTTGATAGACAACATACCCCAGTGGTGTAAAGCTCATTTTGATATTGATTCATTGAGCAGTTACTTCTCATCAGCACAGATAATGTTTTCTGAAATTAATTAGATATTTTCCATTCAAACAACTGAATCACCAGTAACCCATAAAATCCCCTACAACACCAGAGAACAAAATATATGCCAGTAAGCTGGGATCTCAGCAACACCTGAGTATATTTGAGCCCAAATTTAACCTAATAGTACAGTAGGGTGTAGCCTTGGTCATATCTGGCCACTTAGCTATTGTATTTAGGCTTTGAAAAACTTTTTGCATTCTCTTGCTTTCTTCATTCAAGATTTTGAGGAGAGGCATAGCATATTTTTAGTTCTGAGATTGTGCTTTCTAGTTACGTCTCTGTAGAGTAAGAACTAATTAATAATTAGAGGCAAACATTTAACAGGGTGGGAAATGTTACAAGACCCCAAAAGTTACTTCTGATAACGCAGACAACCCAAGCATGAGGTTTGAGAACATGGATGCCTGGTGTCCTGCTGCATTGCCACAACACAGCTGGTTGTTAGTTACAGCATTATAAAAGTATTTACAACTACAGTTTATCCAATAAATACTCTCTGCAGTATTTTAAAAAGCAGCAGTCACATGTGTCTCAGAAGGCTCCTCTGTAGATGAGCCCAAGACGTTACCCACAAGCTTCTTCCTCTGTGATGTTACCTCCTGCTGCCTGCTCTGGCAGGCTACATTCATGAAGACAGGTTACATTCATGTGGGGGCAATGGACAATTCTCTTTTCACTGTGTGCTGGAGGGAGAAGCAGCAGAGCAAAAGCAGCCCTCCTTCACCAGCACCCCCAGGTTCTCATGGGAAACTGGACCCTGATGCAGTTGCTCTTTCTGTACTTCCTCTGCCTGCAGCTACCTGGAGGGAGTACCTAGCACATACAGGCATTGGGAAATCTTCTTGTCTTTGAAACCCTCTTCAAGGATCTGCACAGGAATTCATGCAGAGCTGTGCTTTTCAACCTTTAGGCTAAATATGCTTTGCTTGTGTTCTCCAAAGTCAACTTGAACCTTGGATGCATATGTGATGCAAAAGAACAGCACAGAATTTCTGTCTCACAATCTTGCCTGAAGACATGGCTGCAGATCTTGCTGTAGTCAGCAGGAGATGCATGGCAAATCTTTGAGAACAGTTTTTAACTTGTCTTTATGAATCTGCTCAAAAAACTCATTGAAACAAGACAAGAGACTCCCGCTGTTCAGGCACAAGTGATTGCTGGAGAGAAGACCTGAAAAAGTAAAAGCTACTTGTCCAAATGCTACCAGCAAATATCAGGCACATCACCTCATTTCCACTATGGAGGTCCCTCAACAGGCCACGCTGGTTTTTGCACATTTTATTTTGCACATTACTTTACAGAATTAATTACTTGTATGGAATTTAAAGAGTAACTTTTTAACTTGATGACGAGTTGTATTAGTTGTAGTTGTATGTAGTACAGTAAAAGTCACCGTATAAGGTCTTTCAGGTGGGAAGGAACCTCAGCAAGTCTCTAGTGCAACCTCCTGCTCAAAGCAGGGCCAGTTATGGGATCAGACCAGGTTGTTCAGGGCTTTGTCCATCTGGGTCTTGAAAACCTCAAAGGGTGCCAGCTGCACAACCTATCTGGGCACACCTGTTCCACTGTTTGGCTCTTCTCATGGGGGAAAACATTTTCTTATTATCCAGTCTTGAACCTCTTTCGTTTCAGTTTTTGCCCCCTGTCCTCTTCCCACCATGCACCACTGGAGCCTGGCTCCACTTATTGATAACTTCTTCATAGGTACTGGAGGGCTGCTGTTAGGTGTTGCCCCCACAAGCTATCTTTTCTCCAAGCTGAACAAGCCTCAGTCCCTCAGCTTCTCCTTGCAGGTCAGGTGCTCCAGCCCTCAACCATTGCAGTGGCCCTCTGCTCAACTCATTCTCAGTTTCTGATGTCTTTCCTGGGGGGTCCTAAGCTTGGCACAGTAATCTAGTTGCAGTCTAAGGAGTGCTTCATAGAAGGGGAATAATCCTTTGATCTCCTGGCTGTGCTTCTCATACAACGCAGGAGGCTGTTGGCCTTCCTTGCTGTCACGGTACCATGCTGGCTCTTGTTTGGCATCACAAGGAGTCAAGAAAGCGTTTCTGCCACTGGCAGGATAGCAAACACAGCCAGATCTGCCACAAGCCCAAGATTCCCAGGCACACCCTCTTTCTCCATGCAGTAGTTGTGCTGGGGCAGAATTTGAAGATTTTATTGAGCTTTTCTACCAGCCTTGCTGGAGCAACATTTGTTCCCCTACATCCAGAACTTCTAGGGCCCTATCTGCAACAGTTGTATCTGCAATATATGCCAACCAACTCTCCAACCACGTTCAGTGGCTAGGAAGCATCACACTTGGGGTACTTGGTGTACAGCTCCAGTGTACCACAAACACATCAGAAGAACCATACATGAGCAAACCTTCTGTGCAGTGAATAAAAGTGTTTTTATTGATCTCCTGAAAACCCAAAAGGAAATGCAGTTAACTATAGGTATTAGCAAATGATCTATATGGAAGGCGTAAGGGCTGACCTGCTTGTCAAAGGTCTGATGTGCAGCAAATATTGTGTCAACCACAGCTATCCTTTAAGTAATTTATTGTCATCAGCAGCGGGAAGGTTGATGTCTGACATCTTTTTCATCAATTCTGGCAGTTATTACTTAACCAAGCACAGTGCTGAGTGGTCACAACCCCACTGGGAACCGACATCTTGCAGAATTGCTCATTATTCTCTTGAGCATGAAGAACCTCAGCTAAAAGAGATTAATCAGACTTGCACACCTGGCTTTACACAGTTTGCTTCTTTTCTGTCACACAAGTGCTTTGTGCAATGATTTAAGACTCTGGTAATGTTCCACTGAGAAGACACCACAGATTCCTTGTTCATATTTCCCCTGTCTAGCTTCTTATTCATCTACAGATGTCCGTGTCTGATGGATATTCCATGCTGGAGACAATAACTGTTTCCACCCCTGGTTCATAAATCACATAGATTGTGAAATTAAAACAAACAGAGGAAAGAACTGCAAAACGCTGTCATCTCTTACACGCAGGGAGAAGTTGTTCCCTCCTTTACTCCAGATGATGGTAGCGCAGTTTCCAACAGCGTGCCTGGAGCCCATGGATTTGAGCAAGGCCCTATTTGTTCAGCACACTCACTGATCTAACCACGCAATAGAACTTGGAGTACAAGGTCTCCGTTTCTGGTGTCAGTGAAGACATACTGTTATGTTTCCAAGTGAATGGATCGAACTGTCTTCCCATTGCAGTCATTCTCCTTTTAGCCTTTTTTTTTTTTTTTTTTTAACAGACAAGTAGAATTCTCCTGACGGTGAAGGGCAGACAAGTAGATTTAATGCCTCTGGTTCATTTTCAAGGCTCTATTTAGGTATTAGGGCCATATTCAGACAGGCTCAAGAACTTGGGTGAAACACAGTTGGTCTGAATAAAGCCTTACATTAAAAATGATGGACAAGACTTTTCACAGGTGTCCAGTGGAGTCACCCAGCACTGATACCACTGAAAACGTGTTGGTGTGAAGGATTTCTCTAAATTTAAGTGGAAACTAAAGGTCCATACCTTTGTTGTGAAGAGTGGATACCAGAGTATGCACATCTATTCATGATGGAGTACATGGTTACTCAGGATAATTAACCTAGGCTTGTTTTCCTGTGCAACTCCAAAGCTGTGGTGCCTGTGTCACAATTCTACTGCATGAATGCTTGCATGAGAAAGGAAATTTTCACTATATTTTAGAAGAAAGATGGAAGGATTCCTGTTTGCTTTATACCTGAACCATTTGTCATGTTATACTCACTCCCAACATAAAATATTGCTCTAATCTTCAGGGTTACAGAAGGCAGCAAACTGAGCTGATACTTCCAGCTATTCTTTTGTCGGAAGCAAGAGATGCCTGCCACTGGGATCTCTTTGAATTCACTATTAAGGATGACTCCCCTGCATCATACACAGAGTGATGGGACATCCAGGCACAGGCACTTGTCAGATGAAGGCTTTAATTGCAACGCAGCAGAAAAGGATCTAAAACCAACAGTCAAACGTGCCCTTTTCAAAATGGAAGTGCAGATCTCAGTGTAGTCTTTGTAATTCAGGACCAGCTCTAGAAGTGAAATTGCCTGGAGCACAAATGTATGAAAACACTTTGTTACTACAAATCCCATAGGAGCCTTATTCTCAGGGCTCTATACAATTTACTCTTTATGCTTTCTGTTATTTACCTTTTATTGAAGAAGTGTGTTCTTTTATGCAGGATATAAAGAGGAAATATATACAGATAGCATGTATGTAAGAAAAACAGAGTAACTTGGAGACCTTCCTGTGCTTGAATAGAAAATCCTGAAAGTCGACTTTTTCTACTGTACACAAGGCAATCTGCTTTAGAGGAGAAGGCAGTGCCCTGTACTTCAGCAATCCCATGAGTTAGATTTCAGCCTTGGTGGAGCCATCAGAAGAATTTTGCCCTCAAGAGACACCATGTCAAGTGGATATGATATTGCATTGAAAGCCAAAAGACCTGGATTCTGCTCTCTTCAACTCTCCCACTCTGCAACATGGAAAGATCACTTTCTCTCCATGCCTCTGTCATCTGTGCACACCCTTTGCCTCTCCTATGTCATTAGCTTATAAGCCCTTTGAAGAAAGGGAAGACTTATTGTTAGTGTGTTGTTCCTAGCATAGTAAAACCACTAATATCAGGTGGATACTGTGGATGCAATGAAGCTATGACTACCACTAAAAAAAAGTCTAATGACATATCTGAGCTTGGCTCCATGCATGGTCTTTTTCCAGATTACTATCCTTAATCATTTTCAAGAAGTGTTAGTGCTTGGAAGTCCTAGTATCAACCTTGTGCACCCTGGCTATTAGATGCGGATACTAGTACAAGCAGAATAGGTCAGGAGGGAGGAAAGAATAAAGGGGGCAAGGGGAAGGATAGTTAATACTAAAAAAAAAAATCTGGAAAAGGACTTCAGAAACCTGGTACTGCGCAGGAGGGTAATGACCTTTGAAACCTGGAGAACATCTTACTGATTCTGGCCCTTCAATTCCCTTCCAATGTTACAGCAAGAAGAGTGGACTGAAGCAAAAAGAGGCCAAAGATCATGCAAGCCTTGCCCACAGAGCTGCACTGCAGAGCCAAATGCAGAGTCTGTGGTACTCCAGGCTGGAAAGGGCCTGGCCTTCCTCCTAAACACGAACTCACAATTGCAGCTCACAGCATATATATTTGCTCTCCTTTTTGCTCTTAGCATACATTGTGACTATTTCCCACACCCATCTTGGGAACTACAGGCCCTCTCGTTACTTTTTGTCCCTTCTGAAAACATTTCACCTTGCAACTCCAAAAATCTCCATCCTGCAGTTGAGTCCTGGTAGAGAGGTTTGCTTGTGAACTTCTCATTGATTTCTCATGGACATCAAGGGAGTCTTTGCCTGGCAGGTCAACTATGTGATTCAGTGAACATGCCTAGAGTTAAAAAGGTTAAAATGCAGTGCATGAGTCCAAAGAAAAGTGCCGCCAAGTCTTCTGTAAAAGAATACATTAATCCTAACAATCTTCTGCCCTTTATCATTTTTTCTTCCTGTACCTTTTGTTTTTCCAAATGACTCCTGTTTAGTATTCAAACCCTATTTCTTTTCTGTCTTGCCCTGTAATGTAATTTTTAACACAAGATGTTTTGCACATTACAAAGCCGTAAGAAATGTGACTTGTAGTAATTGCACTGCAGTGGCTGAGAAGGATCAGGAATCCCTGAGCTTTTGCTCCAGCAGTGATGGTGGTGAGTCATCCTGTAACTTCATACACCAAATTGCTCTCCCCCTATTTGCGTGCCTGTTGAGCAGGAGACATTGTGCTTACCTCACAGGGCTGTTTTGGAGGATTAGAGCTTAAAGCATCAAAGTGTGCCACGAGCCTTGTTAAGCATTGCTTCATGTGTTTATTAAGGGGCATGCACAGCCCTGGGATGTTTTTTGCGAGACTTGGAAGTGCTGCAAAACAACAGTATTTTCTCTGAAGACTGTGCTGAGCACACGCTATACAGAGTTGTCTGTTGCAGCAGGGAAGGGGTGCACACTCCTGTGTTGACTAGCAACCTTAGTACCTGCTTGCCCAGGCAGATACTCTGATCTCCGTCTTACTGACATGAAAATTAACACCAGGGCCTCTCTTTCTTCTGTTTTAGATCCTGGCGCTCCTGTGAAACTGCCTTGTATGCCAGTTAAACTGTCACCTCCACTACCTCCAAAGAAAGTCATGATTTGCATGCCTTTAGGGGGGCCAGACCTCTCTCTCTCATCCTATTCCACGCAGAAGAGCTCCCAGCAGCCTTTGACGCAGCACCATCACACTGTCTTGCCATCCCAGTTAGCAGCTCACCAGCACCAGCTCCAGTACGGCAGCCACAGCCAGCACCTGCCTTCGGGGTCCAGCACGTTGCCCATTCACCCTTCAGGGTGCCGGATGATAGAGGAACTGAACAAAACGCTAGCCATGACCATGCAAAGGCTAGAAAGGTAATGGATCCAACTTTTAAAATTACATATTGGCATGCACTGTTTCCTGCTGACTTCAATATCAATATCACCACTTGAGTTATGTTGATAGTACTTGAAATGAGGCTTCTCCTCTGGGTCTACCAACTTCAGGGCAGAGTCATTGCTGGAGAAACAGAGACAGGGAAAGAGCCTTTCCAGGCTTGTTTGACAAGTTTGTGGCAGAAAGGAGAAAAAGACCAAATTTCCTGAACTCTATTGTCCTGATCAAGGAAGTAGATAATACAGCCAGTGAAGAAGATTTTAATAGGACATACCTGGCTTGCAATATGTACTGCAGAGTGCATAACTGCAGAGCTCTGGTTATGTGGAGGATTGCCAAAAGCAAGGAAAGGAGGTGGAAGATTCAGAAAAGAGCAATAAAAACAAAATGTGCCACTCAACCAGGACATCTGATTAGTATTACCAGTTAGCTTGAAACAACCTATGAGGACTTCCTGCAAGTCACTCAGAGCGGTTTTAATAAACTATTTAAACTATTTCAATTAATTTAAATTAAATAATATGTTTGATCTTAAAATAGGTATTTAACCTATTCTGCAGCAGACTTCTTGGCCTTTTGCATCTGGAGGAAGGTAGTACATTTGATGAGAAGTCCATTACCCACCTTGGGGCTGTTTTTCATTACTGTCACTTCTATCTCTGAATGCTGCTCCAAATAGTCTTGAGTAAGTGAAGCATGTTGTATGAATGCAAGCTGTCCTCATAGACTGCTAGATCAGCAAGCTTTGGAAAATTTATTTTGTCTTGTAGAAGAAAATTGAGCAAGTCCCAGAATAGGGAAGTTAGTCCAAAAAATGACATGTTCTATTTAGTACCAAGGGCAGCTTTGTAGCCAGCTTGTTCTAGGAGTAGCAGACCATCCTTCTGTTAGATAGGAAGCTAAAATACTTGGTCTAACAGACAAAAGGCTTAATGATTTGCCCCAATACCTCTTTGTGATAGTGTTACCTTCTTTATATTGCATAGTTGAATATAATTCGACTAGAGATGGCATATTCTCCTTAGTGCATGAAAAACAGTCAGGGGACCAGAGACTGTCCCATACTGCCAGCTTATTTTAGTACCAGGATAGTGAGACCTCTGTGGTCATGTCAGGGGGGCTAATGTTTCTGCAGCATGGGGGAATTGTCTGCTGGGGAAAAACTGCTAGGGCTATGAGGGAGATTCTTATTCCCATCAGTAAAAGGGCTGTAGCGGTAGGATTGGAAAGAGCGTCCACATTCCCCCTTGTGCCCAGTGACTACCCACTTACCTCTTACATTGCCGGCAGGGCTGGTCAGATGCACCTGCATCATCCCAAAGCTTGGTGCACCAAGCACAGAGAGTAGCTGGTGTCTCCCAAAGGCTCCTTTGGGACTGCCCTGCCTATGCCATCCCCGTCATAGGTTGGATGTCTTACTGTCTGGCTCACACTGCGTGCAGAAGGCACCTCGTTGTCCTGAGCCCAGTGACATCTCTGAGAATATGACTTCATTGTGGCATCTGTTGCCCCACAGCAATGAATGCTCCAATTTCTAGGCATCCATCATGTTTATGTCTACAAATATGTTTAACTGTTTTAATGAAGGTGATGCTGTTTGGTTTTAACAATTAATTTGAAGCTGAAGCTCTGCTGCTTGTTAAAAACTGAATAAGCAAGGATTCATTTCCTAATACGAAGCAGTTGCCTCCCTTGCAGAAGAAAATAAGAAAAGGTTGTGGCACTGATATTTCACATTTAAAATGAAAATGAATCCTAGTTCGTGATATTGCAGATGGTTGATTTTTCATAGCTTTTTTGCGTTGATTAACTATTATTTCAATCACGAAATAAAGTATTGAGTACTTTAGTTATTCTCCTTGTCAAATCAGTAACTTTTGCATTCACAAGAGAGAAAACAGGTGATGACTGTTTCCTCTGCAACAGCGATTGTTATTTTCATAGTATTTAGAGGTAAAAGTATTTCAAAGTATTTACAGGTCTGTGGAGCTGACACTTGCTATTAAACTCTTAAATTGCTTTTTCAAGCTATATTGTAATCGTAGTAAATTTACTAACTTTTCTTGAATATTTTTGCAGATTTTTAAATTATATGTATTTAACTTGGGAGAGGATTATTTGCACCAAAAGACACTGTTTTCTAGTATTTTTGACAGTAGTTCTTTTCCCTTAATTGTATAAAATCTGGATTAAACCCAATGGAAATCATACTGCAGTATTTGTCATTGGACACTTCAGCCCAGAAGTCTTAAGGGCCTGTTAAAACTGCAAAGATCCTAGAGCTGCTTTCCTTTATTTAAAATTTGGTAGTGTGCTCACATCTGTTGCATGCATAGGATATGCAGTGACATCCTGAGCTTTACTGTTCCTTCCAAGATAACAATGTACTGGGTCACTGCTGTTGGGTCAATAATCTTGAGGAGTTGAGAGAACCTGACAAGTCTCTGAGGCACCTTCTGGGGAATGCTAAGTTCATTGGCAGCATTTATTTTTGCTGATCTCAGTCTTTATGTCGAAAGAATCCTACAGCTTTGTTGAATAATTGCCGTGATGCTGCAGTAATAATGCTGCCAAGTCTGGCAATTTGGGGGATTATTTGCAATAGTATTTTGTTTTTAATAAGGGAGGATCATGTAGACAAGTGCAGATCAGTTTTCTGCTCTCAATGTTTTCTTTTTTTTTCCTTCAAGATTTTTTTTTTTTTTTTCCCACTTCTCTTTGTCTAGTTTCTTTGGTCTTGGTGCAGTGGAAGCTCCTCAAGTCTGTTAAACTCCATTGATATTCACTGAATCTATAACCAGTTTGTATCAATTCCACATTTTGCCCAGTAAGCTTTTCTTAGACCTCACAACTCTTCTCCATCAGGACTGTGAGTGTGGAAGAACAAAGAATGAAAGATTAAAACATCCTCTTCCTCTAGCAATCTGGATTTTTTGCTTTCACAGATGAGGTCTCTGGAATTCAGGTAGTCTTAACAAAATCTGAAGACTGATAACTTGAAATCAGTGCTTCGCCAATGAGCCAGAAGCTTGCTGAGAAAAATGAGCTGTCCCTCTGTACCAGCCTGGAAGCCAGAAGTCATTTTGCTGTCTTTGACCTTGAGAAAGCTACTGAGTTTCTCTACCTCTATTTTCCCCTCTGCAGGAGTGGTTGCATGTTACTGCCTCACCTAGATGTATTGCATATTAATAAGTTAATGTCTTAAGGTACATTAAAAGTGTGTAATAGCTATTCAAGTCCCAGTTGTTCTTAGGACTTAAAATGGCAGTTAATTCCTGGATTTTTTTATTCAGTTTTATTACAGACATTATGGAACATTAAGTTCATTTGCACACTTAACACTTTTGATTGCAAACATTTTCTGGTACTCGTAACATCTATTCATAACCTATTCTCAGAAGGGCAATCTGTCCCTTGTCTTAGTATGACTATTATGACATGTCATTTGTGCTGCCAGTTTGCCTCTATTTTCCCTGATAAATTACCGGCTTTATGATAGGTTAAGTTGAAACAGAAGAGTGTAATTTCCACGTAACCTTTCTTCTGCAACCTCTGTTGCCAGTTTGTGCCCTACTGCAAATTACTTTCCCCTTCAGCCCAAAGGGTATGTGTCAAGCATAAGTAAAACTCTAGATTCGGGGATCATTTTTTACCATTTCAGAATGCATTTTAAGAGTTGGTGAAAATCTGAAAGCTCCATGCCACCAAAATCTGCAGAAGGTTTCATCCTACTACCTGAAATAAATTTGAGAAGAAAGACCATGCCCAAAAGCGGTGCGTCATGAACAGCATCAAAAGAAGCTTTAGAAACCCTCTTGTGCCACTGGAATGTATCTTTAATTTTAACTTAGGGAGGCAGCTTCTTGATCTGAAATAGCCTTATTTTCTGCCTTGCCCATATAGTTCCCAGTCTGTCTGGTGAGACACAATTACTTTCAATTACTCAGTGGGCTCTTGTACACTAGCAGCTGAATGAAGGCCTCGGTTTGTTCAATGTATGTACTAAAGAGCTGTTAAGTGGCAATATCTCACTCTGGGCTAGAAGTGCATCTGTGGCAAAGCAGTGAAAAATCACTGTGTCCAACAAGACACTGTGTGAGACCAGTTCCTCTGGGACACCCAGTTCAGCTTCAGACTGTAGATTTATGAAATGAAATGCATTAGACATTCCTGCCAGTGTCTTGTAAATCTTATAAAATGTATTTGAGTCAGAAAACATTTATCTTCCATAAAACTTGTCAAGAGAATTGCTTTTTGTCTAAACTTTAGCATTGCCTAAGGATAGAAGCACTTAATACTTACAGCTCTGCTTTCTCTCTCTGTCTCTCATACATATGCCTGTATTGTAGAAATGTATATACAGTGGTTTGAAGTTTTTTTAGATTTTTGTTAACGGATAAGTACAGAAGAGCATACTGTGGATCTGAAAACATGCTGATAAAAATGTAACTCTTTATTCCAAAATCAAAGAGCCTGGGATGACAGATGAGAAGCGTGCGGTTTTTTCCCCACTAGTTTTTACAGGAGGGATTTCACTTTTTTCTTTTCGATTTTGTCTGTGCCATGAGTCACTCATATGCTTAAGTTCTGATTTTTCATTAAAATTTTTTCTCACTAGAAACATTGTAAGCTATATGGTGTAACTTTTTTACTGTTTTGATCACATAAAGATAACAGAACAGTAATTGCAAGTGCTTGTACTAGTCAGCTATGAATTATTCAAATCTATGTCTTAAGATACATTTATCTTCTTAAAACAAGTACTTGCTTAGCTGTAGCTTTGTTCTCTAAATTTTGTTGCAAAACACGAAGCTGATTTAAAATGGACTGTTGGAAACAATAGTGTGCTTTTTGGTAAATAATGCTAAAAATTTTGTGGTGTAGACCACCTGACCATGTGGGGTTTTTGCTAATGACCCAGAGGAATTTATACACAATGGAAATATCCAGTGACCTTGATTCGTCTTTCTTAAGTATACTGCAGTACTGCATGTATTTCATAAGTGCTTTGCTTAGACAGCTGACTTAGTCAAAATGCTGTGGAAAAGGCTGATTTTAATCAAGAAGAACGCAAAACACCAGGAAAAATGAGGGGCTTAAAATAGAAAGTAGTATTATCAAGAAAGCGGATGATTCAGAAAAATTACAATGAGATGAGAAGCTGCCTATTTCTAGATCACTAGTTCAAATCAAGATGCTCTGTGGTAATTTGTAAATCTTGTTGCCATCTGATACCTGCTTGGTAACCTAAATTGGTGAACCACTTTGATATCTGCTACCCTGTGTGCACACCTATAAGGGTGCATCTGAAACCTATATACATCCTTCACAGAACAAGGAAGCACCAACAGTCCTGGATGCTGAACTACTACTTCTTTTAGCTCCTTTCATTTGTACTTCCAGAAGGGACTTAGTGACCTTGTGCTTTAAAATTAACTGAATGATCCAGTGGTTGTGTTCACCATTGGAAGTTTTTTATTTCTTTTTTTTTTTAGCAATGTTAACAGAATTTCACAGGATTTTAGTTTCTCTTGGAAATTTAATTCCAGGCTTTTGATTTTCCTAGCTTTCCTCTTAAAAAGAGTTACACAAAATATAGGTTACAAAAAAACCAGACTTAAAAAATGAAGTTCATAAAACTAAAATTATTAAAGCATATCAACAAATTAAAAGTTAGTTGAAAGTTTTTAAAGATTGTAGTGCATTTATGTGTCATTAGGAGAATTCAGCTGATGAATTTTAAAACTACTTCTGGGATAAAATTTTTTGGGTCAAACTCATGGAAGTCTAATACAAAAATTCACAAGCTAGTTCTTCATGAATCTGTCTCACGTTGTGGTACAAAACATGGACTACGCTAATAAAATGGAGTTCCCCTCTTCAGGGCATTCAGTAAAGCTATGCCTCTCATTGTTGGTTAGTCTGCAGTAGTAAAAGTTGCAAAATTATTTCTTTGAAGCCGAAGATGATAACAACAGCATGGTATGGTTTGCTTATAGGATCTGAAGTCTTTTCTTCTCCTTAATCCCTAAGCACATTCTGGACTAGCATTATATACCCAGAAGTACATTTTTAAAAGTCTTTTGGGGATGTTACCTGGCAGCCATTTAAGAGTCCATGTTAACTTTACAGTTAGAAGAAAGAGAAATGTTTCAAGTTGACTCAGTAGAAAATCATTTAAAGAAAAGAATTAACATTTTTTCAAGATGCAGAATGTCTCTGGTATTCTGAGCAGGCTAAAATATTCAAGGGAATTGAGGCTACTCAGCACTTGGTAAGGTCAGGTCCAAATTTGTGTGCCTCAAGTGCAACTTAGCCAGCTGTCGTGGTTTAACCCCAGCCAGCAGCTAAGCACCACGCAGCCGCTCACTCACTCCCCCCCCATCCAGTGGGATGGGGGAGAAAATTGGGAAAAGAAGCAAAACTCGTGGGTTGAGATAAGAACGGTTTAATAGAACAGAAAAGAAGAAACTAATAATGATAATGATAACACTAATGAAATGCCAACAGTAGTAATAAAAGGATTGGAATGTACAAATGATGCGCAGGGCAATTGCTCACCACCCGCCGACCGACACCCAGCCAGTCCCCGAGCGGCAAATCCCTGCCCCCCCACTTCCTAGTTCCTAAACTAGATGGGACGTCCCATGGTATGGAATACACCGTTGGCCAGTTTGGGTCAGGTGCCCTGGTTGTGTCCTGTGCCAACTTCTTGTGCCCTGGCTGGGCATGAGAAGCTGAAAAATCCTTGACTATAGTCTAAACACTACTGAGCAACAACTGAAAACATCAGTGTTATCAACATTCTTCACATACTGAACTCAAAACATAGCACTGTACCAGCTACTAGGAAGACAGTTAACTCTATCCCAGCTGAAACCAGGACACCAGCACATCTGGTTTCACACCTCTGTTCTTCTGGAAAGTAAAGTGGGAGTTTGACATAAAGAGGGTGTCCAACAGGCAAATGTTCCCTACCTTTCATACAGCTGTTGCCTCAGCTGGGACTTGAGACAGGGCAGTTTCTGCTGGCTCACAAATAAACCTAAGCAGCCATCATTTTTGCCTGCCAGTGTCTCATTCTCATTTCACATTGGAAAAGCAACATGAGCTATTAGATAAAAATGGGTTGGGGAACCTGGTTCTGTTCCTGACTTTGCCTTTCACCTTTAGTTTGACTTTGATCTTCACCTCCTCATGTTCCTGTTTCCCTACTTGTATTGATATGTTCCTTGGTAAAGGGTTTTGAAATCAGCACATAAACAGAGCTAGATGGTGGCAGTACTGATCACAGGTCTTAACCTAGTAAGCTGCAGGAAATGATCAATCACATTTTATGTGACAGAAGAAATATGATGTTAGCTCCAATCCAGATTGATCTCCAGCACCTGGCTGGCGTGAGGAGCCGGGGCAGGAGAAGGGATATCGTCGCTGCAGCCCACACAACATGTAACTATGCCATTAGCAAACAAATGTCACAGGTTTTAGCTCCCTCCCTTGTTACTCTCACCAGCTCCTGAAGTCTCTTTTCTCCAAGCCCAGTTTCACATGCTCGGTCCCCTGCACTTCAGAGAGTTGTGCACTTGCCTTCCCCTCAAGTCAATCAATGTCTTCTTGCCCAAGGAGTGCAAGTCCTGGTTTCCTTCTCCTTTTCTACAGTCCTCCTCTACAATCTATATCTTCCCTTCCTCCCACTGTCTTAGTCCACCTTTTGCATTTAGGCAACACATTTTCTCCTTACTGCCCTCACACCAGTGGAGAGGTCACACAGACACCAGGCTGAGGACATGCTTATCTCTCTGAGTAGCGGGTGCAATTCTCACTAAGCCTTGGGACTGTATTTGCCACAGATCTTTAGTTCTCAGTCCTGCCTGCCAGTATTTCTGCCTGCATGCTGTCCTACCTCTCCCGAACAAGTGTTGCACCTTAAATCTAATGTGTATTCAGTTTAAACCCATTAGATGTCTTGCTGGTCATGAAGATCTTTCTGTCCTCATTTCTTCTCGAAAAGGGATGGAAGATCACTACTTTCCTAAATACAGTGAGAGAAGCAACTCAGCCTTCCATTGAGCTGTTTCCTTTAGTTTATTTGTTTTTCTTTCCCAACAGCTCTGGTTTACACACAGGTGACAGTGTTACAAAAACAGGACCTGGGGGCCTTCCAGACATGAGACAAGTGCCAACTGTTGTGATCGAATGTGATGACAATAAAGAAAATGTGCCTCATGAAACTGACTATGAAGATTCTTCCTGCCTCTACACAAGACAGGAAGAGGAGGAAGAGGAAGAGGAAGATGAGGATAACTCATTATTTACAAGTAAGTCTCATTCCATTTTTTCTTTCTCATTTATTTAATTTTTATTCTGAACTCTCAATGCACAGAGGAAACACAAGGCCTGTGAATTTTCTTTCTTGACCATGGCTTTTGCATCTCTCAGGGCTTGACTATATGGGGATGCTTGGTAAATTAATCCCAAATAACAAGTAGTATGAATTTACAGTGATTTCCCTAATCCACATGAATCCCTGTCTGGGTAGTTCTTAGACAGAATTCAAATGACTGGTTTGGGCTTGTATTAATTCACCTCCAGATTGACTTGGATTCACTTTCCCAAGTGTCTGTGGTGTAGAGAAGCCCTGGTTTTGGCTTAAGTCAAGATCAGGTCAATAGAGTTACTTCAGGAGGATGAAATAAGTGCCACCAAGAGACAGTCAGAGCTTTTGTATGTAGTAAGTATTAAATCATGTCAGAATCGTTAAGTCTCATGATCGGAGAATTGGGCTCAGGTAAGAAAAGAGGTTAATTGATAGCCATATCACAGTTACAGTCTCAGAAGGACCTGTGGCCCCTTCCTGACCTCTCTGAGAAAACCCATCTCCTGCCTCAGTGTGGCATCATAGGACTCTCCCGTGAAGACAAGATACAGTACTTTGTGTATGACAACTGCTTGTTGTCCTGCAGGTCGAGCCAAAGTTTCAGATCCTTGAATTTCTTTTCTTCTGAAAACGGGGAGCAGTGCAATCAAACAACACCCTTTTTAAAACACACACAAAGAAGATTCTAACAGGCATATTTTATCTCCTCGGACTCCTCCCTTACCTTGCAAGCGAAATTAAGCAGTCTTTGCTCTTAAAGTAAGAAACAGAGCAGAACTGCACTATCTCGCAATCTCCTGCCAAAGCCCAAAACCTCTCGTGGGTTCGTGTCTCTCTGTCTCCTTGAGTCTGTCTTCCCTGCTCAAACTGCTTTGGATGCAAGCCTAGAAAAGCAAGATTAAGCTGTGAAAGGCCACTGGTTTTTACAGTGTCTTTGCCACTGTCACTGCCTGAGAAGCAACGTCAGTTAATGTACATAGAGATCTGTGCTGGTTCTGATTGACTTTTGATTCCTTCTAGTGCTAGCTTGGATGTCTTGATATAACATTGCAAGAGAGAGAGATACCTGTCTCTTTCCACGTGCTGTAGCTCTGCTGCCTGCCCAGATTCTGAGGTTGAATTATTCATTCCGTTACATGGTTCAGAAACGCTGTGCTATAGAAAGCTACAGATGCTACTAGCAATTCTGAAACAAGCCCTTCTCCGCTCCCCTCTGTGGAGCAATATTTTAATTTCCTTTTCCTGTATACCTACCAAATTCAGTTTTTCCTTATTATGATATGAATTTAGGTTAATTGAGCACCTGAGGTTAATTGACACCCCTTTTCCCACAGTCCATACCAATGTAAATGAGAGCCTAGTATCCTGCCTTGGCTAGTACTTCTTTGCCTGCTGCATGCTGTAATGAAATGATGACACCTCTTTTGGCAGAGCCTCTCCTCTCTCCCACAGGCTCCCTGGCAATGAAAGTCTGCAGGAAGGACTCTTTAGCAATCAAACTAAGCAACAGGCCTTCCAAGCGAGAGCTGGAGGAAAAGAACATCCTCCCCATGCAGACTGATGAAGAGAGGCTTGAACTTAGGCAGCAGATTGGGACAAAGTTAACAAGGTAGGAGACAAACATTTTTCTAACTCTTACTTTTGGAAATATGTGGTGGGATGCAGTTTTTATCCTTAGTCTGTAAATATTTGAGATCTGTTTGTTCAGCAGTGTTCAAGAGGAAAAGCCATGGGGGAAAAAAAAGACTGTAGACATTATTTCTGTTCCAATATAACTTCCCATACAACGTCCCATTTCATTTTCCTGGCATATCCTATGGGATCTTTGGTTGTGTTAAGTATCAGCATGAACCATGTGGATTTGGTTGTTTATGGGGCACCACTGGGAAATATTTAGCTTTGATAACATTTTAGACTGTAGCTGTAGGTGCCATTTGATAGGCTATTAGTTTGGCCAAAGGGCAGAGGTATAACTTTCTCTTCTGACTGCATCTCTTGTGAGTAGCTGAGTCTTTTCCTGATCCAAAATACTTACGTCCTTCAGTACCTGCTTTTGTTGGGTCAGGTTGGACAGATTTATTCTGTCTAGACTTTTTCTTCTTCATAACATTGTTACTCACCAGCTGTTCTGGTTTTCTGTATTGCATGGGGTATAGAGCGATGGCCATTAATGTGGGAGATGCCTTTCAAGAATTAGTAAACTGAGGTCAGGTAGAAATGTCTAAGAACCTCCTGTGCTCCAGCCATGATTTCTGTGATCAATTTAATACTGTTATCAACTTGGTGGTATGCAGAGCTGGTGAATGCTGTTAGTTGCCCTCCAGTGTGACTCTTAAGAAAACCACAAGGAGAAGACCAGCCAGTTGTTGGGAATTTTCTTGTGTGTTTTCTTTTTTTTGTTGTTTTCTTTTTTTTTTTTTTTTTTTTTTTTTTGTTGTTTTCTTTTTTTTTTTTTTTTTTCAGTAGGGGGAATAAGGGGGGAACACTGTTACCATGTTGTGGAGACAGGAAGAATAGGAGTTCCTGGTAAATACCTCTTTCAGCATTTTATCTAATTTTTTTTCATGGCCTCGTTTATCACCTCTTTGGAATAAACTAACCACATCTTTCCAGTCTGTCTTTGAAAGTGTTTGTGCTGTATCATGCTTAGCCTACTCCAAGACCTGTCTAAATCTTCAGTATTTTTGTTGAAGGGGCCTCAGCAGTGATGCCCAAAGTATGCAAGATGGCACTGCACTGTTGCTGGTACTGTGTTTTTTTTAAATCCTGTCTTTGTTCAGCCTAATCTCTTGTTAGACTGCAGCTGCACATGGAGCTCTGAGTCCCAAAGAGCAGCACATGATAGCAAGGTCCCAGTACTTATATGATTAATTTTGAACCCTTTTGAAGCATGTGAAGAGTTGAAATTTTTGTCTCTTAGCATATCTTACTGTGCACTGCTTGACCTTGCAATGACATTGAACAGCATTTCCGCTGTGTTGCCCATTTGGCTAAATTACTTAGGGCTCTCAGAAGTTTTACAGCTCTGTCTTGATGAAGGTAAATAGTGTCATTTGCAAACATTGACTCTGCACAGCTCACTGTGCCCCAGGTGTTTTTTAGTATATATATTTTATATCTCACCTCTCCAAAACCTGCTTTTTCCCCATTAAAGAATATTTCTTCAGCCTATCTCTTTTTAACAAGGGAAAGTAATTTTGGCAATACCCAGAACTCTTCCTGTGTAAGTCCTATATTCTCACAGTATCATTGTTTGTTTCCCCAATTGCATCTCTGCTCATTCAGTCTGAGGTATAATGCTTGATCTTGTCTTCTAATACAGCTAGGACTTAGGGGCAATCACAAATAGTTCAAACAATTAAAACTGTGTATATATGAGCTCAAAAAATAGCTGAGCCACTGCTGTTTCATTCCCGTTTTATACCAGTGTAACATCACTGAAATTGGTAGGATTTCACAAGCCTTATCTGGAATAATATAGTTGTCAGTCTGACCTTTTAATTACGAGTATTTACAGCTTATTATCTCATCCTTTTGAGTAGTTAAAAACAATCAAGAAATATGAGGAGAAAACAACTTTCCACATCTCTAATACACAAAAAGCCATAGACATTTCAGCAGCAAAAAGGAAGGTACCTGTCTTACCAGTGCTTTGTATGTAAATGTGACATATCCATGTGCACAAACTGATGAATATTAGATTGAAGTAGAAAGAATATTTCAATTTGGACAGTATTGCTTTACTGTCCAGACTTTGTTACTGAATCCATCCTTTGCTATTTCTCCATGATTGTCACACAGTGATGCAGATGCCAAGCAAAATTAAAGTAGTGAAGCATTTATAGTCCTTAGAGAAGATGCTAGATGCAGACTATAATTGCAGCTGGCAATTTTGGATTTCAGAGGGATTTGTACTGTTCCACCAATGGTCCCCTATGGTTTAAAATAGCCAGCCAATGCAATCACATATGCTACTTACAGAAGTAAAAAATGCAGAATAAAAACTTCAGCAAATAGTTATTTTCTGTAATGGATCAATTAATTTTCACCAAGAGGCTGATTAGGATACTTCAGTATTTATGCGTAATCCTCACAGTATTTAGTTTGGAAGAGCTCACTGGCTGCCATATTTGGCAGATCAGAATTTACTAATATAAAGAGAATGCCATTTTCAAAGACGCTTACAGCCAGCCATATTGAGAGACTGACCATTGACATATTGTGTGGGACCAAAATCATCCCAGGTGTAGTTCTTCCAGCCTTATTAGAGTTGCACCAGGAATCAATTTGGCTCAGAACTGGTTGTTCAGATCCTGTTTAAATGTAGCTTGGAACCTCTGAACCTCCAGTTAGTCCTAGAAAATTGTTATGATTTTATTATTGCATCCGCCAACTGGTAGAGACACTCGAGAGCAGACTTCACTATGTCGTGTGTTTCTCATGCTGGGAGAATAGTGCCTTGACTTACATCAGACCAGTTGCATGGGTGAGGCTGCAGAGACTGTATCTTGTAGCAGGATCTGGCCCACTACACGCTTGAATATTAGCTCAACCACGAGACAAATTAACAGCTTTGTGCTTATCATAGGAACGCTTCACATGGATGTAATGCTTCACTGGTGTGTATCCTGCATCATGGCTCAGCACATGTAGATCCAAACAAAAATGGAGTTTTTTGCCCAAGATGGCAAAATACATCCTAGCAAAGGCAGGAGATCCCACATCATGTGAATTCCAGCCACATGAATAGGCCACTGCACCATAGACTATTTTGGGGCAGTCTTTACACAGCAATTACAAAAACTAATTAGAAGACTTCCTCCTGTAACTAAACCAGAATGGACTACTCCAAAATGTGATACCAACTATGAAGCAAGGAGCACAAATAGTGCATTAAGATGCAGAACTTCCAGCTCATAACCACATGTGACTTGGGGATAGGAAATGAATGCTGGAGGCCATGTTCTTGGCTGCTAAAAACCGTTACAACTCCATTAACAACTTCTCTGAAATGCAGACCTTCTGTGCTAAGTCAGTCTTTAAGTGGGTATAGGGTTTTTTTTTTCTGCCTGCTCAGCTGCTCCCAAACTCCTCCTCTGTTTTATCCCTCTGGTGCCTACACAGCTTCACAGCTGCTCAAGAAGTGCTTATAAGTGACTTTAAGACAGAAATGAGAAAACAGGAGGAAAAACGGGACTCTGAAAGTTAACAGGCAGAGGGAAAAGACAGACTTCTGCCTTCTGCCTGTCTCTCTGTCTGTGTTGGACCTGCTGGGACGCACTGGTCCCCTGGTTATTCAGGTTAGAGCAGGGGGCAGGAGAACCTGGATTTAGCTTTCAGTGGCTATCAGGGTGAGAGGAATGGCGCATATCTGGGCTATGACTGTGAAGCAAGGACTCAGGCAGGCTCTGGATCTGAGCTTGGAGGTTCTCCCAGGGGCAATGATAAAGGCACGGCCTGTCAGGAGCCCCTGGTGAGGAGGAGGGCCAGCACTGATGAGTGATGCACAGCAGAGCAGCATGTCTCTCAGAGACTACGGGACTGTCCCCTGGTACTGAGACAGGTGCTTCAGTGCTGGTCCTTGCACTTCTCTTTCACCAAGGAAACACAATGGTAGTCATAAGAGACCACAGAGGCTTCCTCAATCAACACATTGTTTAGTAAGCACGAGAGCCCTTTAGAAAAAATGTATCTATATACTTCTGTTTAGCTATACACTACACCAGACTTTGCTGAGGACTTTGCACTCCCTTGAACTGGGAAGACCTGGTTTCTTTGCGTCTCTTTCACAAAGTCTCTCCCATACCTTGAGACAATGTGTGTCTTTAGACTATGGCTGATTTGCCACGCATCCTACGAGAGAGGCTTTCTAAAGCACTCAAGTTTTTTTGAGTCTCTTAACCCCCCCCCCCAACTCTAGTGAAGGTGCTCATTAGCAATTAGATACAGGAGTATTAAAGCTGAGATTTTGGTCCACTGCTTTTCAAGAACACATGGCAGTGTCTTTATCTGTTTTCCCTGAATTGCTTCCATCCTGGCTTTTCCCACCTGCTGGAATAGGATGATCTAATCATACAAAAAATCTGGTAATCCAGTATTATTGTCATCACGTTGCTAGTAATCAACGTTAAGGGAACTTGCTGATATTCATAGTATTATTACTGGTCAGCATCATGTCTGTCTCATCAGCGTACTCCTACCTACCTCAGGGCAGAGGGCAGGCGGGCTGCAGGTCACAAGTCAGGGGAGATACATAAAGGCTGTCCACAGGCAAGCAGTGCGTGTCAGGGGACTGCTACCCATCACTGGCAGGTGCCACAGGCAACCCAGTAAGATTTTGCAGCCTAATAAGATTTTGTGCTGTGGTGCTGCCAAAAGCTGTCAGATGTAAGAGTCACGTTTAACCCAAGACCATGCCTGGTGTGAAAGCAGAGAGAGATGAGGTGGGGGAGCAGCTCTCTGCACATTAACTAAATAATTAAATAGACAATAATTAAATTAGAAACAAATAAAGAACAAAGTAACTTCTTGCAGTGTCCACATGCTACGTTTTGCCTCTGGTGTGATTTTGAGTGATGGACATCCCATTGCTTAACTGAATCCTATGAG